AGTTTAGTCCTTAATAGCTCCCGTCTTCCAATCTGCACCACGTTTTCCGTAAAACAGAGCATCCGCAACATCCGGTTGCCATGACAACCATGGCTCTCCCCTTGCCCCTCTCCCTCATCCGATCCAGACGACGCCTTGGAAAGGGTTTTCACTGCTTTGTAGGTCATAGGCCAAACTAACCGTTCCACATATTTGAAAGAAGGGAATTCGGTTTTTTTTCTTCCCTTCCCATCTACTACCTTCGAAAACTTATAAATGATCAGAGGAATTCGTTGTGTTTTATTTGCAGCCTCAAACGCATTTTTCTCTTTATTAAAAAGTTTAACGATCCCCGTTCCAATGCGGATGTAATACAAATTAACAATATAGGAGTTCATAAGGTATTGTTTAATATCAGTTGACTAATACAACATGTATTAGCCAATTGCTTGTCGACTAATGTATCGTAATTGCACAAAATTTCATTTTCAGCCACAAATGCCATTATTTTTCTTCGTAAAATTTTAAAAATACAGCTTTTATTGGCAATATGATATTAACAGCATAAGAATTCTTAATATAATTAGCAATAAAAGAGTTCTCAAAAATTAACAATATATAAGAATTCTTAATAATTAGCGATAAAAAAGTTCTTAAAAATTTACAAAATAAGAATTCTTAATAATTAACAATATATGAGTTCTTAATAATTAACAATATAAGAATTCTTAATAACTAACAATGTAAAAATGCTTAATAAATAACAACATAAAAATTTTTAATGATTAACAATATAAGAACTCTTAATAATTAACAATATGAAAATTCTTAATAATTAACGATGTAAGAAAATTCTTTATCGTCAATATGTTATTAACAGTATAAGAATTCTTAAGGTATCCGACTATTTGCGACAATTTTTATTTTAAAAAAATGGAAACATGGATATTTTTTTTTTAATTTTCTAGTATATTTTAATAAAAATTTGCTAAAATTAAGAAGAGAAAAAGAAATTATTATTACTAAAATGGGTAAAAATTGGTAAAAATTTACAAAAAAAAAAACATAAGCATAAATCTAATAATAAAATAACATAAACATAATAACATAAACCTGTAACAAAAGTTTATGAACAAATTTTCAATTTTTTAATTCTGATGTTTTTCTATGTTATTCATTTTTAAATGACCTTCAGGATAAAAGATATTTTAGTTTTTACGAAAACTAGAGCCTTTTATCTTAGTTATTATATGAAATTGCTTAAAATAGCAATGATTTTATTAACATAAAGGATTGCAAATTTTGTAATAAAACAGTGATTAATAAATCAGAAGGTTAAAACACTTCTACTATTATACAGAACATACACAAAAAATTTCAGTTAATTACATTTTAAAACTTTTTTAGCAATCGCTGGCCCCTTTGAGCATTTTAAAAAAAAACACACATTTCGAATAAAACATGTTTTAAAGTATGATATATATATATCTTGTTTAAAGTAATGACATCTGTTTTAACTAAAACACTTGTAGTTTTTGTTTTAGTGAACGGAAAATGATAAACTATAAAGCTAATAAGATAGTCTATAAAATAAAATCATAAAAAAATTGTCAATTTTTGGCAAAATTCGTAATTTTAGGGTAGTCGGATACCTCAAGGTATTGATTAATATCAGTTGGACTAATACAACATGCATTAATCAATTGCTTGTCGACTAATATATCGTAATTACACAATATTTCATTTTCAGCCACAAATGCCAATTTTTTCCATTAAAAATCTTAAAGATACAAATTTTATAGATAATGTGATATAAATTAACAATTTATCTCTTAAAATTAAAATATAAATTAACATCACTCTTTAAAATTGCAAGATGGCTACATCATGCTTTGATTACTGTGCATGTGGGTGATTTGTAAACTCCGCCATATTTTTTTCCTCCTTAAAAATTTTAACTATCTACGTTTATCCAGCAAACGATGCAAATTAATATATTCCATATGAAACCTGAAAGAGATGCGTAAATTTAACTAGAAAATATAACGTTAATATAAAAATAATTTACCTTATTTTGAAAAACAAACATATCCAATTGACTTTTTTAGTCTTACATCTTTATTAACTTTTCTTAAGTTTCTATATTTTAATGACTTTAATCTATCTAGTAATGTAGAAAAACACATACTGATCAATACATATTCAAAAGAAATAAGTTTTTCTTATTGTCTATGATTTCTGAAATAAATATAAATACAAAAATTAAAATAACTTATATGGCATTTTCAGCTCCTTACTTTCATCAAGAGTCAACTTATTTTCATTTTTCAATAAAAATAATTTTGATATTATTATGTTTAGCTGGGTTTCATAATTTTAACCATACTTTTTAGGGTGTGTTTTGGAAACTCTTGTTTTGCTGTAAACGACTTTTGCGCCAATAAACCTTATATTCACTCATTCACTCGAAAACTCTGTAGAATATATTTCTTTCATGTATTTCAAAATACTGTTATGTAGATCAGGATTCAAGGATTTTATGCTATCAAAGAGCAAGGCAGTTCTTCCAAAGCGATGAAACTTAGACAACAATCCTTAGAAATGCAGAATACAGCACTAGAATTCGCTTAATAAATCCCAGAAAGTCTTAACGCCTTCTTTCGCACTCAGACACAACTACCAGCGTCTAGAAATACAAATACGTAATGTATTCCCAAGCAATCGTTTTATCGAAGCAACTAATCGCTAGTCGACTATTCAATGATTAAAGCAATACTAACTCACTTTTAGCATGCGACTTCTATTTCGAGAAAGATCAGTCAGATCAAAATAGCATAGATCGTGATATTCCAGAAGCATGCATATGGTTACAAACTCGGCAAAAATTATCACAAAATGGTCACCAAAAATGATCCCAACTTGGCTCAATCGCCAACATTTCGCCAGGTTTCCAATGAATCATCGTTATAATGTAAAGAACGGCGTTGCTTGTGAATATTACAATTTTTTGCATAAAATAAATACAACAGAAAGTAATATTAACATATTACACAATCATATATAAACTATTTACACTATTTTAAGCCTTCATTAGTCAAAATTCGTAAAAATACCCATACATTATAAAAGCACAGCAAGTTCAAGAATGCATTTTAAAAAACTCGAGTGTGTTTATAATTCCTCACACTTCATTTCCTTCTCACATTGGTGTAGTGAAAAAGTCTGAAGGATGCCCGCTGAAGTGATCGAGGTGTTTTACTTTTCTTAATTTTCTAAGCAAACAAAAGGAGATGGTTCGGACTTTTTCACAATTTATGTGCTTTTATATTCTCGTAATCTCTTATTTGTCGTCACTAATATAAACCAAAATATTGGAAACTTTCTCGCCAATTAACTTCATTAACATTTCGGATTTTAATTCTTTTTCGCACATTTTTGTGCTTAAATATCTTTCTATTTAATCAAAAATCGATTTCGTGTTTCGTTCCTTCTTATCTTCGATCTCCAACAAAATAATTTTCTTTTTTTAATTATTTTCACTTGCGCTCCTCTTCATTTGTTCACTCGCTGGAATTAAGTGGAAGTGGGCTGTATAACCGTAATATTTAAATAAAGAAAAGAAAACTTTAGGGACCAAAGTGTGCCGAAAAGTTTTCTTTGAAAAAAAACACTCACTAGAAAGTTTTCAATTAAAAACTAAGCGAACATCAAGGACACAAGTATGATTGCCGATTAGAGCCGAGTAAATCCGAATGAGCGTAACGCAGCCGAAACTGAGGCTTAATTTAGATTCACTCTTCAGCAAAACGTGCCAAAAAAGAGTTATAACTTCAAAAATAGAAGTCTAAAATTTGGAAAAATTCGAATGATTTGATAGCAAAATCAAGTGAATTAATAATAAAGAAAACTTTATAATTGACATAAATTAATCAGCTTTTACAGTTAAAAATATATAAATATTCTTATTAGTACTTTTAACATAAAACAAATCTATAACGTGGAATTAAAATATCTCTGTTCGGAATACGACACAGATTCCTTTTTTTCTGTTTAAAAAGTTCTTTCTTAAGAATGCTCAATGTATCAACAAATATAAGCCATTAATTCTTAATTGGATTTTTCCATATTTTGTTTAAAAATAAAGGTTATTTTATAAATAAATAAATTTTATTTTAGTTATTTACGGTTCATTTATCTCTAATAACAAAATATTTAAGGAAATAAAACTTTTTTTCTATTTCTTTTGGTAATCTGTTTAGTAACACTATTTAAAAAAGTAAAAAGCTTAATATATATATACTTCTAAAATTATTTTAACTGATTATATATATATATATATATATGAGATTTCGTTCACTTCTAAGTCTTTTCTTTTCGCCCCAGGAATGAAATCTGGTATTTAATATGAGCTCGGTATATATTTAAACTGAACATTTAAAGAGGGTTCAGTGTTCTACTTATAATCCTGTAAGCTTATTTTTGTGATTAAAAACATCGATCTAATGTACACATGGTTGTTTTGATAACTGGAAAAAGAAATACTTAAGCTTTCACATAGCTATTTTAAAAGTAAATTCAAGTTTAATTCTTTTTATGTTATTGATTTTCTTTGTTAGATAAAAATTAGTTATCTGAACTTAGTTATCCTTTTTATCAGGTAACCTACAGAGAAAGTAGCTTTTTAGAAGCTATTCTCTATATATATTTCCCAAATACTATTTATCACAAGTAATATAAAAATATTTAAGTCAATTCTTACTGAGGAACAAAGAAAATTTTTATTTTAGTTACTTTTTATTAAATAGTTACAATTAATATAAATATGTATAGACATATGTCAAAGAATCACAATATTAAGTGACAAAATAGAAAGATATTTTCTTTGCAATTTCCCATTTTCTTTTCTATATATGGTGTTAGACTATTTTTTGTTTGTTTCTCTTTTATTCATTAATTTAATTTATTATTCTAATTAAATAATATAGTAAAAAAAAGAAATTGCATTCTCGGAGATTAAGCAATTTAGGTGGCATTCGAACCTACGACCCTTGGATAAGAAGTCCAACGGGCTATCCATTGCGCTACAGGGACACAAGGAATGATTTTCTTTTTTAAATATGTTGTTGGATTATTATTTTAGTTGCTACTTTTTTCATTTTTTAATTTAGTTAATAAATTAATATTTGAAAAACTGTATTAAAACCAAGTGTCATCCACTACAAGTTTTAAAAATGTATTTGAACTTGAATGGATGAATAGAAAGTATTTTATAAGCGATTGAAAATTTGAACAGGATTATATATATAGGGAGAAAGAGAACTCTCTTTATATATATAATAGTAGGAACTGAAAAATAGAAGCTAAAATAATTTTAAAGGCTTTGTCTTCAAATTTAAGAATTATGATTTAAGTGGATTCTATTTATAAAATTATTATTTTAAACTGTGTATATAAAGTATTCTATTTCCTTTTTTACACTTATAATTATGCTAAAATCAAACTTTATAACGATGTATTTGTCATTAATCACCGTCTTAATATTATGGATAAATTTTAATGAGTTATAAATTTAAAAAATATATATTTAAAATTAACTATACGCATTTATTTTCAATAACCAATTTGGAAGCTTGCAAACTATTGAAAAATGTAGAGATTATTAAATTTATAGCCGTACAGAGAGAGAGAGAATTAAATTGGCAGGACATTTAAGATTGGATGAAAATCGAGTCACTCTAAAAAGTCTCTTGAGTCTAAAAGACAATCGAGTCACTCGAGTCTCTCTTCTTGGATAAACCATTCTCAAAAAAGAAGGAGACTAAAACTTAGGTGGGGATTGACTCTTCTCGGAAAAATACTTGAAAGCTATTACGGTGACAAATTGAAAGGCCTTACCCAAGAACAGGGTTGCATTGGATGGAATTCTGAAGAAGGTGGGGGTTAATTCGGGGCTGTTGTACCAGTGAAAAAACATATATTTTTTACCTTTTCTAATTTTATTTTTAAAATCTCGTATTGAATTCTTGATGTTATAGAATAAAAGACTCAAAAAGAGCGTTTAAATATTAGAAAATTAAAACCCCGGGTTAAACGTACTAAGGTAACAAAAACCTCGACGTCAAAATATTAATCTTAGTGAACTTTTTCTTATAATTATTAGGAAAAACTGTGCATTTGATATTCAACAAGTTATTAACCATCAAGGGAAATACTGTTAAAACTATCAATAAATTGGTCATTTAATCAATTTTAGTTTTCTTTTCATTACTATTCACGCTTACTTTCATCCCTTATTCATTTAATTTGAAACGTATATTATATACCAGTGAAAAAATTCTTTTTTTGTTATATTTTATTCTTTTTCATAACATATCTCCTTTATGGCTATAATAAATTTGTTTCTTTCAAAAATTTGCATAAGACAGTGATTCTAAACTACTGCCTCACGGCACTTTTGTACACCCTCCCCCGCCAAATTTACTTAAAATTATTAATTATATACTTTGAGGGGGAAAATTAAAAAATCCTAAACTTAATCTCATTCGGCCTTTTTTAAGAATAAACTATTTATAAAATAGTTATTGAGTGTAAGTGAATATTAACGACGCACTGTTCATGAGGGCTTTTGGTGACGGACCTAGTAATATTGAATCATGTTCAAGTGACGTGGATGACACCTGAGCTGACACCCCTTCTCCTAATTATCACACCACACCAACGGGAGGACGCTTTTGAGCTCTAGACGGTTTTAGCGTGCATCGTTAAATCTGTAGTGGTACTGGGCTCGAACTCATGACATGCCAACCGCGATCCTATACCTTGACCACTAGGCTACAGGGGCCATAAATTGTTGTTGAGCTTTTGACTACACAAGAGGAGAAAATTTTATTCATTACTTCAGAAATTTAGATATAAAAAAAATATTTATTGGAGGTTCGTAATCCATTTTACGAATACATCTGTACATAAATTAACTTTGAATGAAAATGAAGAACTAATTTCGGTCTGTAATAATCTAGATTTCATTTACGAACATTCGAAAATGTAAAATTAATTCATTTTGGATTAAAATTTTGGGGCGATAATTCCATAATAGCCAAAAAACATTAAAAATATTGTTACAACTTTCTACATCTCATTTGAGTGAATTCGGATTTTCAGCATTAATTAAAATCAAAATGTAAGAAAATTTAGAATTTTAAATCTAAATAATGAAATGATAGTAACATTATCATTTTACGACCATACATAAACCAAATTATCAAAAATCATCAAGCTCAAATTTCGCGTTAAACGTATTCTTATTTTTAATTTATAACTAATTACTGAATAAATATTTTATTGTCTTTGTCGTACATGTTGTTTTATTTAATATTGAAAATTATTATCATTAACTATTTTACATAGAGAGAGAGTGTGTGTGTAATATATATAAGTAAAACTCTTTTAAATTTACTTTATTGTTAGCGGGACGCCAAATTTTGAAATTGTTAATAATGTACAGCAACAAAAAAGGGTTGAGAATCACTGGCATAAGACAATGAAATATATTTTGATCGTAAAAAGTGGTGCCTTCTTAGTTGCCGACCTCGTCATCCAAATTGTGAAAATGTTATACTTTGTTGATTTTTTTAATTAACCTATCCACATATTAGAAATCCTTAAGAAGGTTGTTGTCTTAGTAAGTAACGCATAAGACATATTTATGTTCCAATTTAGCAATTCTACTCCTCTGATGAACTTAATCCATGTGACGTCACAGTCACATGATAATGATAACCACGTGTTTCCAGCCAATCAGTTCAAAAACTCATATGACGTCATGGACGCACGATAAAATCAATCTTGTGTTTCCAGCTAATCAATTCATGCGCTTCTTTGTTTCCAACTTTTGCTCTTTGCAGAAACTTTCTCTTAAAAAGTGTGTATGCATTATATTTAAAGTACTTGCATAACATAATTTTTTTAGAACTTTTTGTAACAGTTATACATCTTTACCTAATTATGAAATTTGAATTTTTATCTAAGTTTTACAAATAGAACAATAAGTACAATTAGTTTAATGTGTGTTTTGAATTCATTGGAGAACACGTGTTTATCTTAATCACGTGACTGACAGGAATTGACCTCATTAGAAACATGAGTGTTAAGTAAAGCATCAATTGTTTCTCGCATGTCAGAGATATCGCAAAAGATATATATTTTTTTTTTGTATTAAAATTTAAATAAATCTCAAAACACCAATCATCAAACTTTCTAACATATTGTACGCAATAACATTAAAAGATCCAAAAAAAACAATTTTTCTTACATATTTTTGAATAATTTACTCAATAAAACTCCAGTTTTTGTATAATTTTAAACGTAAGAATATCTGGGAAAATTTTTAATGTTTACTACAACAAAAGGTAACACAGAAATTGTTTTTGAAAATGTTGTTAAGCATTTTACATACATTTTCCGATACATGAGTTACCTACCTGTTCATTAAAATCCTTTATTTGAAGAATCGGGCATAACTTGTATTAAAAAGAAGTTATTTTATTTAAGATAATATTCAATACATATTTTATAGCTATGTTTATTGTACTGCAATAAAAAAGGTAATAGTTTCGGTCTTTAAGACAACTGGGATTTCTTATTGGTGTACTCGTGATCAGTTTTGATATTGGGACTAATGACGAAACTGGTGTAAATTGTTTCTATAATTCTATCTCTTAAAATTTTCCCCACAAAAATAATAATACCTTGGGTCACCCTACACCAAATTTAATAAAATAAAATTACGAAGAAATTAAAAAATAATAACATAGTAAAGAAAAAAAGGCTCTATCCAAATTTTGTAGAGAATAATATAGTCATTAATAGGATATACACATAGATATAAATATATTCATCATCTTTTATGTTAATTTTGAAAAGTACATTGAATTTTTTTAATAAAACATAAAACTGAGAATTGTCGTGAATAAAAAAACCATGAGCCATACTGGGGCAGTACCCTGCGTATACGCTTCATGAAGCAGGTCAAAATTTTAATGTACCTTGAAGCATTCATCGTCCAGCTATCATGCACACAGTTAATCGACGATCTTTCGTGATTAATTTACTCACTTTCTCAATGTTTTCGTCACATCGGTGTTTCACAACAGGAGTTGTCAGAAACAATATCCCGGCCTTCTCAAAAATGGACGAACCACTCGTATACATACTTTATGAACAGTGCTTGATCTTCATAAGCACGCACCACCATCGCATAAATTTCTTTCGGTGTCTTGCCAAGCTTAAAACAAAACTTTTAACTGACATTTTGTTCGTTTATTTTCCTGTTCTCAGTTAGGAACCAACGCACTAAACAAGCACTTTGTAAAACATGTCTAACACGGAACACAAACGACGCTCAACTGAACAACGGTGGGAGCAGATGGTCACCACACCTGCCGCTACTCACGTGCAGCGTTTTGTCTTGCCAGGGTTGCCACATTGGCCGTTCTCACTTCATTCACCGAACTTTTTTGTCAGAGATTGTATATTTATATATTGTATAATTAGTATAATTATGCTCCTGGTATAAAGTAGTTACTTTTTTGGCGATTTCAAAATCGCTTGACCTAATAACATGCCATAATGGCCAAATGATGAAGAAGCAGTTCTCAAGATATATATGGCAGTTTCACAATCGTAAAATTCTCGGTAATTTTCTGTATCATTTCCTTCTGGAATTTCTAATAACGTATAAATTTCTATAATATTTATCGATCCGTTGATTAAAAAATCATTTGATTTTTGTTTGAGATTTACTTTACCCAATACGAATTATAAGAGAAATTTACCACTTTTATAATACATATTTTTGAAACTTTTGTTTATTATTGATAAAAGTAAGTATTTGAAAATGGGTCAAGTGTGTGCACAATTTATAGGTAGCCAAAGCAATAGACCTTTATAAGCTAATAAATATCCTTTGTGCATCCGAAAAATGTGGGGGTTTAATAGGACGTTAATCAATAACAAATAAATGGAGATGTATTAATAATAATTTTTATAAATTAGAATCACTAACGATACACAAATAAATCAATATAC